TAACCTCTTGCGATTGGTGGAAAAACGGAGCAGCCCTACTCTCGTCGAATTTTCTTCCAATCGAGGTTCGATCCACAGGGATGCGCACCCCGTAGAGGCTCTTCTCTACTCACAGGCTTTCAGTCCAGGGAGAACGACAGAGACAAAGTCGCCGACACCGACGGAGGGAAGAAGCCGCCGCGCCGCTTAGATCGCAGTCTCCCTCGCCCAATATACACAACGCCTTCGATATGAGCGACAATAAAGAATACAAGCTGGTACGCTACTTGCGAAGAAGGTTGAAGGAGTGACCGCCGAGAGAGAGAGAGAGAGAGAGAGAGAAGCGACGCTCCATCCTTCCCTTCTTTTCTCTCCCTTCAAACCTGAGTTTTGATGAATTAACCTTGGATAATTATGTTGTAGGTGGTACTTGGTAGTGGTGGTGTGGGTAAATCTGCGCTGACCATCCGCCTCGTGACCGACAACTTCCTGGAGGACTATGACCCCACTATTGGTAAGCTACAGAGAATAACCTTCATCGTCATGCTGAGTCATACAGATACTAACTTGAATTGCAATAATTCTTTTTTCATACAGAGGACAGCTACCGGAAGCAGACGACTATCGATAACAGTCCAGCGCTGCTGGATATTCTGGATACGGCCGGCCAGGAGGAGTACACATCCATGCAGGACCAGGTACGCTGTCGCTGCTACAGATGAAGATCGTATCGGGCGCTAATGCTCTCGTTGCAGTGGATGCGTGAGGGCAAAGGCTTCTTGCTGGTGTACAGCGTGACCAGTCGTAGCTCTTTCGACGACATTTCCGCCTTCAAAGACAAGATCTTGCGTGCCAAGGACGTGGATAACGTGCCAATTGTGCTGGTCGGTAACAAGTGCGACCTGGAGCCTCAGCGACAGGTGGCCGCTAATGAGGGCAAAGAGCTTGCCCGTCAGTGGGGCTGCTCCTTTATGGAGACCAGTGCCAAAGAGAGAGTACGTCTCCGCTATCAGGTCTTGTTCAGGCTATGTGTCGATCTAATGTCGCTGTATCTCGTCTTGTAGATATTGAATGAGGAGTGCTTCTATCAGGTGGTGCGTGAGATCAGGAAATCTGAGCGTCCTGTGCGTGTGGAGCGACCGCAACCCACGCAGAAGCCACAGAAGAAGTCCGGGTTCAAGTGCACCATCCTATAGAAGCGCGCGAGCCTTTCGCACGTTGCGTCGCGTCGTACGAGGCCTCCAGCTTCTATCGTCTCGTCACGACGTTCTGCTGCTTACATAACATCAGTCAGTTTAGCCCACTTCAGAATCCAATAAGCCACTCACCACTCTACCGCTCCATTCACTCAGTCACTTGTCTCGTGTCAGCCTGATATTAATCACCAACGAGCAGATCGGCTTCATTAAAGTTTCTTCAGAAGTGCCTGGTTGCATATACTGCGCTCATTCCTTCACAAATATAAGTAGTAGTAAGCTTACTAAAATACATAGCACTAGGTAACCTAGCGTTTGAACTCCGCATTAGTAGTACTACCCTACATGTAGTACCTGGGCTGTAAAATTAAAATGTTGGATTATTAAAAGTACTAGCTCAGGGTCGATAGATTAGCTATTATAATCCATTGGAACCAATATTTTAAATGATTTTAATAAGTGCCACACTATGCAATACATGTAGAGACCTAGAATCGACGCCTAAAAACGCTTTTTTTGCCTGCAAATTCCTAAAAACCTTAAAAGGCTCAATATTAATTATTAAATTTTATAATCATAATGTATTATTCTAATAATTTAGTTTTTTTTTTGAGAACAGTATGTCAAGGAAAATAAGAAAGTTAGGTCAAAATCGAGTAAGGCAACACAATGAACGAGCGACAGCTTTCGTTTTTTGTGAATACCGGTACATGGCAAGTACGCTGTAACGTCAGGCTGCACCAGGCAATATAGTCAGTTGTTGAAGCAACCAAGGTTGGTTGTGAGCTATAATACGTAGTCAATTAGAATCACTGCAGCAGGTATCTGAGTCGAATCTTGTCAAGAGTCTTGGTGAACGTCTTTCATCTTGGACAACTTCAACACGCCCCTTTCAATCTGCTCGGGCGCATAGTACCCCCGTACCTCAATGTCTCGGGGTTGCCGACTGTAGCTAGGATTTATAGCCATAATAAGAGCGACTTGACTATCAATTTCAATGCGTAGTTCAACCAGGCGCTTCAGAATGATTTCCTGAAGTATGTTACTTTCAGCTACCGCTTCCAAATCTGCCTTACATTAGGCGACATATTCAGGCTCAGCAGTAGAGAGCAACGATGTATTGTCGTCACGACATCCGTGAAATGGGCCCTCCAGTCAGCGCAAAATTCAAATTTGGTAATGCTTTTCCGTTTCAGCCCAGTCACTGTTATAAATACTTTCCAGCTTGATTGCCGTAGCTTCATCTTTCTGTCCTTTGTAAGTGATCCCGTAGTTTGTTGTGCGAGCCATTCAACGTAGAACACGCTTTAGGGCACCTGCGTGCTTATTCGAAGGCTTGGATACGAACCTGCCTAAAATGAGACTGGCATAATTGCTCTGACAAATTGTGCTGTTGTCGGGAGTCTGTTCAGCCTCAACTACTAAAATTGAGTCAAAAGTCCTTGGTCCTTAATTACGTATGCCGTATTCAGCTCTTTAAACAGTGCTATTTTGCTTCCTTCGTCTCGTGGCAACCAAAATATCGTCCACGTAGATGGGCCCTCGCATGACTGTCTCCCCTTCGAACCGATAGTGCGAACACGGCTCTGTCAACGAGTGCTTGTAATCATGATCAAATAGCCATTTGTTCAGTTCTGAATTCCACTCTGGACCTGATTGTCGTAGCCCGGACAACGCATCACTACAGCGTACATGTGCCCATTAGCTTGGCATACTATGCCAGGCATAGGTATCCATCAATTGACTTCAAGTATTGTCGGATGCTAAGTGACGCGCTTAAGTATGTATATCTCTATCGTTAACCTGTAAGTTCAGCAATGCCTCCAAAGCTACCAGCTGTCAAAACGGCGACATCCGTGTCACTGGCGCAAAAGCTTCACTGAAATCAATTCCAGGTCTCTGATGCTACAATTTGACCTTTGAAACGAATTACGAAGCCCATGTGGTGTCCCGTACCCGGGAATGTAGGCGTCGTGCCAGGCGCTGGCGGGCCGGCTTTTGTGACAAGGGACCTCGGCGAAGGTCAGAGTGCTGCGACGGCGGGAGGCTGGTTCCCGTTGACCCCGCAAGCTCCCACCCACTTCGCACAAGAGACTGGTGAAGTTATGGTGTGATTGTATTGGAACGCTACGGTGGAGTACTGGAACGGTGTGCGAGTTCCCTCCTATCGTCTTACGTGGCGGGGGACAAGGCCGGATGCGCAAGGAGGACCGCATCTCGGACCTTCCTGTCGCCGCACGAGGACGGATGTCATGGAGAAGGACTCTTTTGGATCAAGATATACTTAAGCGGTGTCGTGTATAGGAAAGCGAGTTGGCGGTAGGCCCTCGTTCATTAGTCTCAGTCTTACATTTACTACCTCTTGCCTAAGCTGAGTGAGAGAAACAAACAAGAAGCTTTTTGGTGTATTAAGTTATCTTGTGCTACCGTTCCTGCCACTACTCGAGACCGTACTCCCTAAACAGCCGCGGACTACCCGACCCTAGAGGTGGTGTAGGACACTTGGTGGAGAAGCAGGGTAGTCTGCTTGCTGGAGAAGGTCTCGTTTGAGTGAAGACTCGCAGAAGAGCGTGTACTACTACTACTTCGACGGAGAAACATTGGGGCTGAGATGTCTTCCGCGCAAGGCCCTTACGAAGACGTCTACGACGAGTCTGGAGACGAAGAAACGGTCGCTGGACCGCAGAAGATCCTAACTGATCCCTCCCGACCGAGTTTGACTACTACTGAAGGTATTGGGGCCGTGCACTCTATGGTACAGCGTGCCGGTGTCCGAGTACGTGGTCAGAGTGGCCCGGATGCGGGTACTGGAAGGATTGAAGAAAGCTCGGTCCCGAGAGACACCTCGACGAGCGTTCCCGCGGTGCCTCAAGACTCGAACCCTGACACGTTCGTGGCGTTCCCACCCGGATCTACCGACTCGACTGAAGGCTGGCTTAACGCGTGTAGATGGCTCCAATCTATGGCGCCTCCTGAGGTGGCGGCGAGCCTCCCTGGTGCTTCGCAGCAGCCCTCGCAGCCTTGGAACACTGGAAACACGGGAAATGTGCCCCCGAACGGCGGGCAAGTGACCCCTTCCCCCGCGAGAGTCCGGATGGCGATACCGTCCTATCAAGGGTACACTATCCAGAGTCCGATGACAGTGGGACTAGGAGCTGATCCCTTCCTCACGTCGGACGCGACGCAGAGAAGCACTCCCGTGACCGTTGCCCCAAGTTCGTGGGTGAGTGGGCCCGGAGCTGCTAGCTGGGACGCCCAGGCTCCTAGCAGAGGAGTAGGCGTGGGGTTTCCCCCGGTGGTAACTCAAGCGTCCCAAGTGTCTCCTGGAGTTCCAGCGCAAGGGGCACCTGCCGTCTCTTTCGCGACTGCTCAGCCTAACCAAAGTCCGGGGCCGGTAAACACTTCCCCGACGACAAGTGGATTCGGTCCGACTGCTCAACCCTCTGCTGCTGGAGTTGGTCCGTCTGGAGGATATGGGACCGCTGTGCCTGGTTACTCGTCGGCTAACCTTGGAGGAGCTCCTTGGAGCGGCCCTAACGGAAGTTATGGCAGTAACTACGCCTCGGGGTACAGTCATCCTGCGCCGTCGACTGCTGTGGTGCCTTTTGGGATGCCTACTAACATCCGGAACGCTATCCGCATGATTCAGCCGTTCTACTCCGATGGAGCGTCGGTCGAGAAGGCGAAGACGTTCTGGGACTCTTTTGAGCGTGCTACTGTGGGTCTGGAGGAATCCATTCGTCTAAGTGCTTTCCGCGAGTGCCTGAAGGGCAAGACTGGTGAGGATTGGTGGACGTACTCTCGTATCAATTCTTTTGACACTCTCCGAACCCGGTTCCATAACCAGTTTATCTGCCAGACTCCGTTGCAGCTGATCGAGAAGCTCCAGAACACTAAGCGTCCACGAGGAATGTCCGCCGAAGTGTGGGGCGACATGATCTCGGGCTTGTGTGACGACGCTCAGTGTTACGACGAGCAAATACGCTATCAGTACTTCCTAACGGGACTACGGAACAAGCAGTGGAGAGCCGCTCTCGACGGGAGTATGATTGACTCTATCCGTGGTGCTGTAACGCAGTTACTGTTCAAGAACATGCATCTTCCTTCCGACAACGACGATGAGTTCGAGAACACTTCGACGATTCGCACCGAGAACGCGGCTTTGGAACGGATGATGAACATGATGCAACAGACCCAGAATTTGCTAGTGCAGCAACAGCAACAGCAGCAACAGTTGCTGGAACGTCCTCTGGCTGCTGCTTACCCGGCTCCTGCCATGAAAGTGGCTGCTGCTTACTCTCCTGCTGCTCAGAGTGTTCCGATACCTCAGGCTCAACCGGCCGCGACCACCCCTACTACCTCGTTCCGTGCATTTTGTCATGGCCCGGACTTGTACACTCAAGACGGTCAGATTGTGTGTGGTAGGTGTCACGTTCTTGGATGTAACCGGCTCAACTGTCGCCGAGGTAGGGCGACTTGCACCAACTGTAAGGCTGCGGGTCATATCAGCGTCGAGTGTGAACATCCTCCTACGAACGGTTATCGGAACAACCCGCCGAGGAACGGTCGTAAGTGTTTCTTGTGTGACGAACCTGGTCACTTGCTTTCGGACTGTCCTTTGAAGGCGTCTCTGAAGACTCTTGGAACGGCTGCTCCTCAAGTGTCTACACCAGTCCAAGGACAAGCGCCCCGACAGCAGTGATGGGGGCGAGAGGGAGGGGAAGGGAGTGTCGCTCCTTCCTCTTGTCAATGGAACGACACAAGTAGGAACACTTTGAACTCCTTGGAGGAGTCGGCCGCGAGGTACGAAGTGCGTCCTATGCTGGGTGGAGTGAAACCCACCGTGTTGGATAAGTGTGAATCGCCTGAAAAAAGAGAGTGTGTAACTGGAAAAGTGGAGCAAGGAATACCTATGACCTTTGGAGCCCTCGAGCCCGTACGAGTTGGTGTGTCGATGGTCCCCGGAGCAAGCCAAGAGTGGAGTGTGGAAAGAGAGAGAGCAGTACAAGAGAGTGCAGAAGAAGAAGACAGTAACAGTAACGAGATGAGTGGCCGACGCAACGAGAGAACAGTAACTGAGGAGCCGTGTTACCTGCGAGAGATAAAACTACAACCTGAGAACGCAGTGGAACG